TTCAGCCATTGTGGAAGACAGTGTGGGAATTTCTTAGAGACATAAAGACAGAAATACTGTTCAACCCCACAATTCCATTACTGGGTATATACCCAAAGGAATATAAATCATTCTGTTCTAAAGATGCATGCACACCTATGTTCATAGCAGCATTATTCACAATAGCAACATCATGGAATCAACCTAAATGCCCATCAATGACTGACTGGATAAAGAAAATGTGATACATATACACCTTGGAATTCTAAGCAGCCATAAAAAGAATGAGACCATGTCCTTTGCAGGGACATAGATGGAGCTGGATGCCATTATTCTTAGCAAACTACTGCAGGAACAGAAAACCAAATACTGCAGGTTCTCACTTATAAGTGGGAGCCAAATGATGTGTTCTCATGGACACATAGAGGGGAACCGCACATACTGGGACCTTTCAGAGGTGGAGGGTGAGAGAAGGGAGAGGATCAGAAAAAACAACTAATGAGTACTAGGCTTAATCCTAGGTGATGAAATAATCCATACAACAACCCCCCCATGACACAAATTTGCCTATGTAACCTGCACTTGTATCTCTTTAGTTAAAATAGAAGTTAAAAAGATGTTAGATAACTTCAGGGACAACTAAACTTTAGTGAGCATAGTTGTTAAGTGTGACAGTGTTCTTCCATGAACACCCCTCCTGTTTCTTTCAGAATCCGTGTTCTGGGCCTCCAGTAACCAGTGCAGATGGAGCTGGATGCCATTATCCTTGATTTCTAATTCCTAAGGGTGGCTCAGGGTAGGGAGGTTGTATAGCCCCATGGTTATAAGCATGAAGACTGGAGGCCTTGCCTCTTGCTCTGTGCCCTTAGGCAAGTTAGTCATCACTTTTCTCGTCTATTAAATGGAGAATGTCATGACTTTGGGAGATGATTCATGAAACCACTTAGGACTGCTTGGCATGCAATATGCCTTTAAGATATTCTAGCAGTTGCTGTTGCTGTTGTGAAACCAAAGAGTACATAAAAGTGATCCTATAAATAATATAATCAAAAAAGGATTCATAAGATGATTCTGTAAATAATATTTCTGTCACACAGTGCGAGGAATTCAAGGAGAGAGTGCTAGTGGGTAGATGTTTGATTCTGAATCTACCATTTGCCAACTGTAACATTCTGGGATTTTTTTTTTTTCTTAGCCTTGCTTTCTCTACCTATAAAATGGGATAATAATGCAAAACTTGGGTGATTATTGAGCATGGCAAATTATAGGATACATTTAAAGTACAGCTCCTGGCAGGTAATAACTGCCCAATAAATGTTAGCTATCTCTGGCAGTTATAATTCACAGTCACAGACTTGGGTATGCAAAATAGAGCTTTATTTGTCTATAACTGTATGTTTCTCACCTCTTGAATTTCCATTTCCACTGATGGCAGAAAACTAGATCTTGCCAATTTATGATAAATTTGGTGGCTTTCAGGCCTTTTTTTCTTCTTAATCTCTAGTTTGAGTAAATAGTTGATTTTGGATTCTTCCCTTTTGCTTTCTACCAAATGATCAGGTACTGGGGAGCAGGTGGTTTTCTGATATCCACATGCTTCTGTTCAGATGTAGGGTTGCTGTTGGTCTTTGGTCCTGCTGTGTGCACAGCAGCAAGTTTTCATTTCTCTTCTGTCTCCTGGGATCCATCAGGGTCCTACAGTTCCCTTTGGTTCCCTGAAGTCTGATTCACCTGCCTAGTGACTGACACTTTGGGGGAAACTCTCAGTGTTCTCTGGCACCTCACAGGAGAGCCAAGAACCTGTAAGATGGCCTCCATTCGTTTCCATGCCCACACTGTGCAGCCATAGCTTCTCCATCCCTCAGTCCCTGCTGGGTGCTGAGCTTTTCTCAGAGTTGCTACTTTTCTGGATTTCCCAGGTTCAGGTATCTGCCTGAACTTACAGTGTTTGTTACCTGAGGATTCATCCCTTATTCACCTGGGCTTGACTCAGTGTGGATTGGGAGAGGAGAGTACTGTTTCCTTCTTAGAAACCCACAACAGCATGTAACTGTTACTCTTTGTGTTAGTTTTCTGTTGCTTCCATAAAATTATCTCACAGTTCTATAGGTCAGAAGTCCAGCTTGACTCTGCTGACATCTCTGTGTCAGGTGGCACAGGGTTGAAACCAAGGCCCGCTTCCAAGCTCACCGGGTGGTTACTGAGATCTGTTAGCTGGCTGTCAGCAACAGGACATTCTCAGGTTCTAGAGGCTGTCCATGTTCCTTGGTCCATGGTTCTATTCCTCCATCTGCAAAGGTAGCAGTGGTAGGTTGAGTCCTTCTCATGGTGTGAATGTCTCCAACCTCACCGCCTGACTCATCTTTCTTGCCTTCTTCCAATGCATCTCTCTCAGTGACTCTTATGATCTTCCTCTTCTGCTTTTAAGGACTCCGGTGATTACATTAGGCCTACCTTCATAATTTCCCTGTCTCAAAGTCAGCACATTAGTAATCTTAATTCTGTCTGCAGAGTTCCTTCACTGCAGTACCTGGGTTAGTGGTTGATTGAATAACTAAGGACCAGGAAACTGTGGGGGTCTATGTGTGTATGCACATGTGGGTGTGTCTTTAGAATTCTGCCTGACACGCTCTTACCCCAGATTTCCCATGACTTTCTCTTGTCTACAAGTAGAGGGATAAACTGGCTCGGCATATATTCCTTGACAGCTATTGCTTCTGCTAGAACTTCAGTTTTTGAACCTGAGCACTTCTAAAGTGTCAAACTATATCCTCTGCAGCAGGCTTCAAGATGCTTCTAATATATATAAATCAATAAATAAAATTAATATTTTTCTCTGTTATAGCCAGTGTACCGGGCAATGGGTACAAAGAGGTCTCCCTGTCTCAAAGGGTGGTGGCTAAAGGGTAAAGGGCATTCTAAAGACATGCCAGTTCAGTTAAAGGTTTATTGACTATTCTGTAGACGGTGCTGTGGGAGATCCTGCCCTTAAGGAATTTATAACCTACTAGGGGTGAACATCATTTAAATACATATTATAATAAGTGCAGAATATGAGAAGAGTATGTGGAGTATGCATAGTGTTGTCAGAGCCTGTAGGAGGAGGCTAGGACTTCCAATTGAGAGGTTAAAGCTTTTGTTTTTTAAAGGGGGTGGCATAAAGACTCGCTTCAAAGAAAGGGTGGGTTTTGAGAAGACAGTGAGGCGGGCTAGTGTAGCATGTAGAGCTAGCCTCCAGGGTGGCCAACCATGATCTCCAGCTACTGGTATTCACACCTTTGTGTAGTTTCCTCCCAAACTGAATAGGAATGGCCTGTTTAACCAGTAAGATTGTAGAAATAATGGTGTGTAAGTCTGAGGTTAGGTTATGATATTGCAGCTTGCAGCATGCTTTACTGGATCTATCATTCCAAGGGAAAATCGCCACCATATTGTGAGGACATTTAAGCATCTTTTTTGGGAGATCCATGTGGCAAGACTATATAAGAGTCATGAAAGCAGATATTCCAGTTTCAGGCAAGTCTTCAAATGATTACAATCTAAGGCAACATCATGTCTATACCTTCATGAGAGCCTCTGAGCTAGAACCACTCCGGTTAAGCTGCAGTCAGAATCCTGACCCCAAAAAACTACGAGATAGAATCAATTTCTTTTTCTTTTTTTTTTCTTTTTTTTTTTTTTTTGTGAGGGAGGCTCCCTCTGATCGCCCAGACTGGAGTGCAGTGGCGCAATCTCGGCTCACCACAACCTCCACCTCCTGGGTTCAAGCGATTCTCCTGCCTCAGCCTCCCAAGTAGCTGAGATTGCAGGCACATGGCACCACACCTGGATAATTTTTGTTATTTTTAGTGGAGTCGGGTAGTCACCATGTTGGTCAAGCTGGTCTCGAACCCCTGATCTCGTGATCTGCCTGCTTTGGCCTCCCAAAGTTCTTTTAAGCCACTGTGTTCTGGACTAATTAGTGTCATAGTAATAGATAGCTAATACAGCATGGGGTTTAAAAAAGTAATATTATTTAAATAATGTTGAACAGATTGTAAAAAACTTGCCTGACAGATTAAAAACCACATTTTTTATTCTTATGGCATGAGGGAGCCTCTGAAGGGTTTTGAACAGTAGAGTTCTTAGAAAAATAGACTATTCGAGAGTCTCTTGCATGTAGAGTATTTTCAAATTAACTGAATTCTATTTCATTTAGGCCTAGAGAGAAGTCACTAATAAATTAAAAACTCTCAAATACTTCTGCTTCATCTTTTTTGGTCTAATAATCTTGAAATATGTATTTGCCTTCTTTTGCAATCCTAGGAATCATGTTTCATTTTTAATCTCTTTCTAATTAGTTAGATTTTCCTACTTCTAGCATTCATACAAGATTAGAGCCCATGAAAGATAAAACAGCTAGTTCCAAGAGTATGCCAGGGGCCAATCTGTGGGTTACCACCAGGATGAAGTGTATATGGCTTGTGTATATATGATGATTGCATTTCAGCCAAGCACAGATATAGCAGGGAAAAGCATGTAGTGGAAAAATTGTGATCTTAATCCTCTGTTCTCTAGCCTTCTAGTGGAGTCAAATTACAAGGGGGAATTTAATTGCCAGCAAGACCTTGATGTTAATTCAGCTGCCTCAAAAGGGATTGCTTATGATTCACCAGGCTACCCAGGAGAAATTGGGTGATACATCCTGAGTCTCTGAGACCTTTAGGGCTTAAAAGGCCTCTCTACCTGATTCTGGTGCTGTGGCCTCTAAGCCACAACCTTTTCAGAAGAGTGATCTCAGTGTAATGAATGCTTTCCTTTTAAGTAGATTTCCCAAATCCAAGTTTAGAGGAGGTGGTCTAAAATGGCTCCACATCTTTGGACTTAGCTTGAACCTTGTAAGGACTGACACATCTCCTACAAAAATGTTGTTTACAGCTGGATGTGGTGGCTTACTCCTGTAATCTCAGCACTTTGGGAGGCCAAGATGGGTGGATCACCTGAGGTCAGGAATTCAAGACCTGCCTGGCCAACATTTTTTATTCTTTATGCATAAGTGAGCAAATCTGCCGTAGATATTGTTCAGTTTGTTTTATATTGTCTAATAACTGCAATTTTAATCAATTATGATTTGTAACGTATTCTAAATGTCACACGGGTGCAGACTTCTGCCTAAAAATCATTGTGACCTTAGTTTTGGTGCAACATTAGTATACAGTAGGGTACTTGGGAATTGTGATTTGTAGCTATGACAGGTTTTCCTTTTAGGACTAATAAGTACAGACAGGGCCCCTTATGGAACCCTTATAGGGTAACTGAAATCCACCAATTAATCACAAATCCTCTGTTTTAGCTTCCACTGTAATTGTATCTCTTCTTCACCAAGCCTATTTTGCCAGTTTTTTTCTCTTCCCTCAGAGGACCAGTGATAATGCAATCAGATGAGCAAGCAGGGAAGTAAAAAGGAAGAAAATCAAGGAGTTTAGGTGTTCTCTGAGAAAGCTACATAAACTTAAACTCTGGTGCTTCTGGAGTTTATTTGAGTTTGAGGGAGGTAGAGGTAGAGAAGGTCACCAAGTACAGTAGCTTGTCTTGTGTGAGCATGCAACCACAGCTTCCAACACTAAAGAGAGAAATAAAAAGTTGGTGCTGGCTATGTTCTGCAGGTAGTTCTACATCAGTCCTCCTACAGTAGCCCATGTTTACACCAATAGGTTATTTTCTACACTCCTTTCATTCTAAGAGGATTGTATCCTCCATTGCTTTCTGTCCAGGAATCCTCCAATTCCCACTGAATGGCATGTTTGTGAGATTTCTAGTTGGATCAGGAATTGACCTTGACCTGTACTGGTCTGAGGAAGTATTGACTTGCTTGGTGACTTGTATCTTGTTGTCACATAGCTGGAGTATTGTGAATCCATTGCTAATCTGTGTTATATCACAGGACAAGAGGGATACTGAGATTTCTTGGACTAACTCAGACATTTTCTAAACTCTGACTTGAAACAAATACAAACTCCTAAACTCACTAAAGCGAGACTGTCTCCTAAGGCTTTGGTTCTCAAAATTATATGAGCATCAGAATCTCTTGGAGAGTTTGTTAAAGTCCGTTTGTTGTGTCCTTACTAGCAGAATTTTTGATTCAGTAAATGAGCAGGAGGGGCAAATATTTTACATTCTACCAAATTCCCAGGCGATGCTAATGCTGCTGGTCCAGGGACCACTTTTGAGAGCCATTGTCCTCAGGGGCTTCTCAACATGGAAAGATGTGAAATCAGGCCATGGTCCTTCTGAGATTTCTCATTGTCTTCACTCTTTTGACCCAGCTTGTCTCTGACCTACTTCCTGTTGAGTTTGGGGGTCATAAATATGTGGTCATATCCTGTCTTTCAGATCTATAGTGCCTCAGACAACCAAGATTGTTTCTGGACTGTGGTAGCCATCTAGTCTCAATTTTTGAATGTAGTGTAAAAGCCAGAGATTTAGGGCAGAATTTATGTCTCCTATTGCCGTAGAAACATTATTTAATCTTGAAAAAAACAGTCTTAGTTGGGGAGGATTCTCACTTTTATCTGTGAGGAATTGAAACTCGGAGTTTAAATTACTTGCTCAGGAAGTAAATAGCAGAGTTGATATTTGAACCCAGAACTCTGGCTTCAGTGATGATTTTCCTTCACCTAAGCTTCTCTTTCTCTTGAGCTCCTTTTGAACTGAAGATTTTCTTCACCCTTTCTTCTCATCATGAGTCTCTAATTAGAGAGTGAATTATGACTTCCATATAGATATATGTGTCTATATATGTCTATATGGAGGCCCTTTTTCCAGCAGTTTTATTTAGTCAGTGAAGTCCTAAGATGTGTGTGTATTCATATATATTAATATATATGCACCCATACATTGCTTCATTTTTAACATTTTGCATGCAATTTATCATACTATATAATATGCATTTTTGTGAGCTGCCCTGAAGCAGTTAGAAACAGGGTGAAGAATACATGCAGACCCCCAAGTGTAGTCAACAGATGTGTGCACACACATTTTTTACCCACCCATAAGCTGGCTTGTTCTTCATACCTTACAGTCTAAGAAAATGTCTTTTTTGTAGCTAAGGTCGTATTCTAGGTTCCAGCTATGCCCCTGACTGTCATCAGTAAATGGGGTTGAAACTGACCTTGCTTACCCTGCTTCCACCCAGTAATTCTCTATAAAGGAGATCAGGGCATCATTTAGTTCTGTGGGGAGAGAGGTGGCAGGTCTGTATTGACACATTCATCTGTTGGAAAACAAGAACAAGCCCTGAGGGCTTTTAAAGTATGTTCTGAAGTGAGAGTTTATATGCTTTATCCACCTTAAGAGCAATACAGTTTTTTTTTTCTTTCAAAGAAAACAGTTCTTTTTCCATTGGGAGGAAACAAAAAACAAAGAAATTCTGGCATCTCTTACTGAAGGCTGTAATGAGGCAAGGAGCTGGATTGCAGGAGGAATGGTAATATTGCGGGAGGAATGGTAATAAGAAGGAAAAAATGGTGGTCATAGATACCTCTCCAGGAACAAAATGACCCTGGGAAGATATAAAATTGCTTGGTTTTGTTTTTAAATTATCAAATAATATGACAAAATGTATCTGTGAACCTTACCACATTCCCCAGTCTTCTTCCAAGTTAGATGGCTTTTTTTACTTTTCCCTTCACTCATGTTTTATGAGTACAATCTTTACTATGAGCAAAACATAATAAAGATGTTTGTTAAAAACCTGTGACAGCTGGTTAGCTTCCAGGGGGGTCTCAGTTATGCCAACTTCTATTATTATGAAGAAATCTTCTGATATTTAATAACATGTATAAAGAATACTAAAAGAAATTCTGTGTCATCTACAGCTGAGAATAAGAACCATCACATGAATGAAGCATTCTTTTATCTTCCCTCAACCCCATTCACACACAGTTATTAATCAGACAATATTAATATACTTAGGGGCCTACAAAAAGCAGAGCTGTCCAGCACCTAATGATATGGCATTTCACATGAGGAAAATGCCATCATTATTTGTCCCATTTTATGGGAGGAAACTGAGGTTCAAAGAGGGGACTACTTTCATAAAGCCAGTCAGCTAGTAAGTTGAGGAGCTGGGATGCAAAGCCAGGCTATTTCCAAGCGTACACTCCTAGTCAAATGTGTTTCTCAAGAGAGTAAATTAATTTGGCTAGTGTTGCTTTAAGACAGAAGTCAGAGAATTTAAGTTGAGAAAGGCACAGTCAGCTCTGCTGTAAAGTGACATGGTGTTTGGGAGAATCACCATACTATGCAAAATTGTGCAACAAAACCTACAGGATTTATGAGGAAAATGGGCTTAGTGGCACAATATTTAAAAACTTTGTCAGTAAAACATTAAAAAGATAGAAACCTAATAAAAATGGTAACACTGTTAATATAATTAAACACACTACAAGAAGTATGGCACTTTTCCTTGAAAAAAATCCTAAGTTTGCTTGTGGAAGCAGACATTGGAAAGGTTGCTGCTTATGGGTTATTGTGAAGTGGTGGAAGGAAGGTTTTCCTGAAATTGGAAGGAAAGTTGTAATAGCAGTGTGGATGGATGGGTGGCTCATAACACTCAGTGACTTAGGTAGCCGATAGGTGTTAGAGGCATGTGCACCTGCTTTGGTTCAGCTGGGTGTAGTTTTCTGCAGTCACCTGGTGTTTCTCATGGATGAAATCATGCATAAACCCAACATTTGCATTATACTTAAAGTGTTCCTTAATATAGCAATAGTGTTGAAACAAATTCATGTTTTCAAAATAAGCATTATAGAAGAATTGGCTTTATAAGTCAATCCTCAGAGGATGAGCAAAACCCTACCCCCACCTTCTCATTTTTTAAATACTGATGGTTGTCTGTGAGTGATGAGCCATATGAGTATGACTCTTTTATGCATGTTTATATCATTTCTCTTACAAAACGTTAAATAATATTAAGAAACATAAAGTAACATGTAAAGTTCTCCTTCCAGCCCCACAAGACAAATAATAATTTTAGGCCAAATCAAAAATATCCCATGTATCAAAATGGCCTTGTCAAGATCACATGTCCTCACCCCACCGCACCCCTGCCCTTGAGTTGAGTCAGATGGAGGCTGAGTCACCAATGACTGGATATTATTGATTTTCTCACTGATTATTTTCCTTGACTGAGGCGGCAACAGTTGGCTCTGTATTGTTTGATGAAGTGCATATATATAATCATTTGTTCTGGGTCCCAAGGCAGTTCCCAGGGTCTTGTTTGTTGATTTCATGATGTGGCTGCATGTACTGGACATTTCTCAGCAGATCCTGCATACAGCATAATTGGAATTCTGGGAATTCCTGGATGTTCTACTCTTTTTAGATCCACTTTGGGGGAAAAAAAGGGAAGCTACTGCTTGCACATGAAGAAAGAAGTAGCTCTATGTCATTGAGCCTACATTTGCAGGAAAGCCATGTCTAGAAGAAGCATAATCAAAATGATGTCCTTGGAGGGGGCACCTGGCTGTTTTCAGCAAGTGAAATCCTTGTCTTCCAATTAGATGGGCAGCTGGATAATCATGTGTACATTCAGGTTGCAAAGAGATGAGCCTCTACTAGATGAGCCACTACTTACAGAACTGCTAGGATGATGTAATAAATTACACCACTAGTGTAAGAATGACAGCATCAATGTAAGCATGTAGGAAATTTTGTTTTAAATCTAGGTTTAGGTATCAACCATAAAACCCTAGAACTATGACAAGTAGGAAATGAGAAGAGGATGTTTTGTCCCACACCTCATCTTACAATGAGGTGAGGCCTGCAGAAGCAGTTAAAACTAGCCAGAAGATGCTTTTGAGTCATAATGTGCCTGAACAGTGACATAAATGCTAGAATTCCCAACTGTTCTCCTCGTACCATAGTATTGATTTTTGTAATTCGGTGAGTTTTGACCACTTATTTAAGATTCCAGACAGCCCTCATGTTGTTGCTGCTGCTCTCCTTTATGCCAGCATTTGTCATACTTTGATTTGATTCCCTGACTGTGCCTTCATTTTATTTTTTTAAAGCTGAGAAGAACGAGGGTTGCTTGTATTCAGGCCACGGTTACCACCAGTTGGCTGTATTTCTTTGGTTGATATCCTCTCTTCTGTGGATAGAAATATGAAAACGAATAATCCTTGTACAAAGGAAACAAAAGTGCTAGCCTACTTTGTATGGAGGCCGATTTTCTAACAGGTTTGTTTTATCTGGTCAGTGAAGTCCTCAGATGTGTTACTTGAGATGCAAGAAATACATTGGGGAAAACACCTCAGAAAATGTTAGGGGAAAACATGCTTATCTTTCAAGATTTTTCCTAAGCCAAATTGGGAAAAAAATGGATTATGAAACATCTTTAGAATTAAATGCAATATTTAAGATATATTCAGTGTTCATATACTGTTATATAGTTTTTAACCTTTCAAAATGAATTTTAAAAACCATGAAATTAGAGAATATTCAAAAAAGGCTGTTTACAGTGTCATTTAGCACAATTCCCACACACCAAGGATAAGCTAATAATAATATTGACAGCAACAGCTAAAATTCACTGAGCACTTACTAGATACCTGGCATCATTCTTCATGGATTACATGGAATTACTTAATCCTTAACCCCAAGAGGAAAATGCCATCATTATTTACCCCATTTTATGTGAGGAAACTGACATTCAAAGAGGTGACTACTTTCATAAAGCCACTCAGCTAATAAGTTGAGGAGCTGGGTTGCAAAGCCAGGCTGTCTGCTTCCAAGCTTACACTCCTAGTAGAAATAAAGGGAGGAACCGGCAGCACTTGAGTTAGCCATGCCTCTGTCACCAGGCAATAAAGGGCATGCCTCCAGGCAGTTTTGTTATCCATTAAAGAGAAAAATGATACATGTTTTTTCTGTCTCACAGATTTGTTGTGATAATCTTAGAAGATGGCGGGAGGAAGTGGTGTTTAATGAATATCTGCTATATGCAGGCACTATATCAGGTATTTCATAAAACATCATTAGCTGTTGCTGTCCCTGTTATTTATTGTGCAGGTCTCAAATTCACTGTTGACTGTAGAGTCACTGCCATTTTCAAAGGATGGATTCATTGCCATCTGTTCTCATGTGTGAGTTTTTCCTGTTGCCTTATTCAACTGATTCCAGTGGGGGGTTATTTTTAAAGCAGTACATGTTACTGTATTAGTAAAAAATTTAAGCAAAGGATTTGAACAGGCAGTTTACATAGGAAGAAACTTCACAGGCCATCAAGCATTGGAAAAGATATTCCAGGTCATTAGCAATGAGAGAAATGTAAATGGATGGTCTGCCTCTGTGGGCCTCATCTTCAACCTCATCTCATCTCTCCTTAAAATGAGTTATCCATTTGTAAACTGCTGATTTCTTTGGGGCATTGTCTTCGTAAACAATTTGTGAAGCATCAATAATTCCAGCATTCTTCCATCCAAGAATCACAGTAAATTTGATGTTTGCTCTTCAATTTTAGCAGAATTCTTGTTGCTTGGATAGGGGCTCTTTGCAAACTGATGTCTTATACTTATTAGTGCCTTTAACTAGATACTGTTTACATATAACAACTTAGTATGAGTATTTTGGTGCAAAAACATTTTGCAATCCATGTATAGTTTTTTCTTAATATGCATTTTCCATGAACTTTTTGAAGACTTGTATTTATTTACATAAATAAATTGAATACTATGAGGGAGGCATATTACGTATGCTTTTTCTGTACCGTGGCTATGAAGATGGACTAAATTATCTATAAGATGCCGTCCAATTCAAAGACAATCTCCCCTCAAGGCAAATATCAGATTATCAAACCCAGTCAAGATATAAAGTGACTTGGGTTCAGCATAATTCAAAACATATTTTGCTAACTGCTCTTGTTGTCAACTATATGAGACACTGGTATACTAATGCATTCAAAGGAAAATATATCTGTATTTTAATTTATCTGAATTTATTTTACTTATCTTTTGAGACACAGTCTCACTCTTGTCACCCAAGATTGCAATGGAGCAATCTCTGCCCACTGCAACCTCCACGTTTCAGGTTCAAGTGATTGTCCTGCCTCAGCCTCCCAAGTAGCTGGGACTACAGGCACACATCACCATGCCCATCTAATTTTTGTATTTTTGTGGAGACGAGGTTTCACCATGTTGGCCAGGCTTGTCTTGAACTCCTGACTTCAGGTGATGTGCCCACCTCAGCCTTCCAAAGTGCTGGGATTTCAGGTGTGAGCTGCTGCGCCCAGCCTGATTTATCTGCATTTAATTCAAACAGTACACATTTTGACTTGGTATGCCGAATGTTTGAGTGTATTCAGACCTTTCACAGGCTGATAGTTTATTCTAAAAATAGAGTACAGCATTAAACAAATATTAGTCCTCAATGGAACAAGTGAGGTTGAAACTCGATCTAATGTACCAGGAAGCCATCCCATGTGAGTGATCTAGTGGCCTTTAATAGGCTAGAGCCAAACAGTTTCTGATGACTGTTTGCTCAAAAGCAAGTCAATCAGTGAGTAATAGAGTTCAGAGTCTTTATTCTCTGTTTTGTATCTGAACTGTGAACAGCCCTTAATAAAGAGTGCATTCCTTTCTACCAGAATTGCCCAATGGAAGACAACAAGTCTATCTACTTACAAAAGCCAACAGAAACCTCCTAAGGGAGACTCAGACCTCAGATCATTGCACTAGGAGCTGAAAATTAGAGCCGTTGTTGCTGTGGTAATCACTGCTAACCTGGCAGGTTCTTCCTCATGATAGCCTCCTCAACAAGTTCACTCCTTCTGCATTTGGTAAGGTGTGAGTTGTGTCTGTATCTATTTGCTTGTGGCAAAGTTGTGTTTTACTCTAAATCCAAAGTCAGAAGACAGGAGCCACCAATGTCTTGCACTTAATAAATGTTAAATGAAGATTTTTGAGGTTGGATTGGGTGCACCAGGTTTGGAAAAAAATCAGAGGTGTCAGTCACTATTTTCAGAATGTCCATGAATCCCGAGTTGTTGACTGCTGTTTCTCTTGAACAGTTCCAGTTGCTTTTTGGCGTAATCAGCACATGGGTATGGTTTGCAGCTCTCCAATCCACTAAGTCCTTTAGGTAGCCAGAGATGGAGGAAGCTGCTTTAAAACTATCCTTCTTTAGAATCTATTACGAGGCCTTTTTGGGGGAGGAACAGCATGAACTTAATAGGCTTCTGAGTACTCATTCTATTAGGTTGTCTAGAATAGAATTCTTGTACTCATTCTATTAGGGATTGGTAGAGTACTAACTCCAGGTTCTCTGATTTCTGGGGATTGGCAGAGTATTTACCCTATGTTGTCTGATTTCTGGGGCCCTCCTTTGGGATTTTTCTGCCAATCCAGGTGTGGAAAGTACTCAATGGTAATAGTCTCAAAGTCATCTTAAGATTTTCCAATTCTGAGATTTTTCCAAACCTACACTGATGTTAGTAGTCTTACCAGATTTTTTACCATGGGTTCATTGAAAAAATAATCTCCTTCTTGTTATTGCATTACTTATGGAAGTACTGTTTCCAAGAAGAAAGGAATGATAACATCCAAAGTTTTGGAGGTAGTTTAAGCATTTGTCTTAAGTTTGTGTTTGCAAAATACTCTTCAGTTGCCTCTCATTTATGTTACAAGCCTAGCCATACCTGTCCCAGTGAACATCTCAAATTTACTAAGAAATAAAAATTCAGTACAGGTGATTTGCCTTGGCTGTTGCTACCAGACTCTGTGTTTCCCCAGTGGAGAAGCATATGCATTTAAAACTGGACTTGACAACTGAAAAATCACTGTCCTAGAAGCTACTAAGTCCTTTGTGAAATCACAGTGAGGCTGAGGGCTGAACCCCTATGGTTCTTCTACCCGGGGTTCTGCTTCCCACAGGCATAAGTGAGTCAGATGCCAGGGAGTTTCAGTTTACTATAGGGGATGTGGAAAAAGACCTAAGATCATTTACTTAGGAATTGTAGTGTGGGGACATCACCACAAACCAATAGTAAGATATTAGTAGTCTTATCAGATTTATCAGTCTTATCAAGAAGTTTGGACTTGATGCTGGGCTCTTTTTCTAATAGTGTGGACTTGATCACATCATTAACCTTTTGCCTGTAAAATGAAGACACCTGCCTTTCCTATGCCACAGGTGGTTGTATCAAATGAGGTAATGTTTGTTAGCATTTTCTGCAGCCTCTAAAGTACTTTGGAAATGTACTAGCTCTGTTCACGAAGGTCTGATGATCATACACTGACTGGAAATAGCATTTTCACATGCGCTTTTCTTGAGTCTAAGTTGTCAGGTGGATCTTTCTTAGGGTCCTCAGTTTGAACAAGCTGTCATAATGTATCAAAGAATACCAGATAGGAGAAAAAAGAAAAATAACAGCAAAAATAAAACAAATTTCAAAAAGAGGGGGGAAAAGACTAGGCACTCTCTCCACCCACTCTCCAGTTCCATTCAGCACACTGACTTCATTCAGCAGTTTTTTCCTGCTTTGTATGCAAAGACAGAGCCTCTCATGAGAACTTGGATGAACAGTGGAGTATAAACACTCATTTAAAAATAAATCCAGATGTAGTTGGCTGCAGCAATCTGACAGGACCCTGATTCTCTCTTCAATAGTGTCATTCATTTGTACCCCATTAATTCAGGGTTCTTAATAATTTCTCCAGGGTAAGTCTGAAGTTTACTTCATTTTATCTGTGAAGAAAGGACCTACAGAGCAAAAGAATATTGTAAATAAGTTTGCTAGGGAACATTTAGCCTGCTTGAGAGGAAAGGCCATTTTCAAATGCCTTACTTGCATCTATTTGCATCCTAACTATCTACTGATTATGAGTGATTCTAGTCATTAAAGTAGTCCTAGGAGAATTCTTCTTGGTGATATTTTATTAGCATTTAATTTGAACAACTCTAATAAAACTCCATTTTTAAAAACTTGCCCATAATTCAATATTGTCACACATCTTCCTTCATATAAATTTGTTGTAAAGCTTTATTGTAATTACGTGTCCCCAAATCGCTTGCATATCATCTGGTACAATTACGTCTTTCTGAAAAAGATTTTCCATTTTCCTTTAGTTTCTTAAGATTAAAGTGTCCTAAAACTTAAATAGAATCACTAAGGCTTAGACGTAGAGAGGAGCTACCTGTAAGAAACCAACTAGGGAGTGTTGTATTTGACCGAATGTAGAAAGTTATCACAAGACAAAAGTATGCCAGATTGTAGGGTCATTTATTATGCCGGCGACCACAGAGGACTCACGTCTCTCCAACCTGTGGTGGCAACAGGAGGGTGCCACGATTTTTTATACCCGAAAAACCACCTTGGGAGTGGGGGTGAGGGGCAGGGATGGGGATGAAAAGGCTTCAGACATTCCGAGGGCTAGTGGATTCTGTAAATTACCTCCTGGGCAGAGATGAGGGTGGGGGTCTCCGGACATTCCAAGGGCTAGGGGACTTTTGTCATTCCGTTTGTTACTTAAGTGGTTTACAGAAGTCAAGATAAACATTTGTTTACACATTATCTGGTTAAGGTGGAAATCACCTTAGTTACTTATTACAAGTCACAGGAGCCAAGATGGCATGGGTTAGGACTGCTTGCCTGTCACATTAGGGCCACAGAGAGCAGTTACTGATAAGAAAAGGTAAGCAGCTTTACGTAGTTTTGAAGAACAAACTGGCAGTTCTATTTACAGAGGCCAAGGACAGTAGTTATTGTGAGGAGAATGGGGCAGCCATTTCAACTTATCTAAAAACAGTTTTGCATTTTATAAAATAGTTTTGCTCTGGTTCTGGCTCTAGGCCAGCACAATATCACAAGAGGAATGTAATTAGTTATTTCTACTCTGACTAGATTCCAGCCGGAGATAGAGGGCAACTACTACTTCTAAAAACTTTAGATTCCTGTAATTGCATAAATAGACTTTATTCATAAAACAACTTCTGTACCATGCTTGAGATATAGTGAATACTAAGTACTTCATGAATTAAGGCATGAGCGCACATGTATCTTTTGGGTTTTCCTTTGTCTTTCGTGAAGACACCTTTTAATATCAAGAAGTCTGTATTATAATAGGAATTCTGCAAGAAGATTGTATTGAAAGCAGTGTGTTCAACCCATTCATCCACTCATTTTTCAAACATTTTTGAGGCATACCTACTATGGATCAGCCTGACCTAGAGGGCAGAGGAAGTCCGTGCCTCTGCACATCTCACATTTAGCATTCAAGCCACTTAACCTTTGAAAGTGACATTGATACATTGTACAGTCTTTGTCTCTTACTGTACTTTGAGTTGCTGTGTACCTGGTTCAAATCCTATTCCAGCCATCTCCTATGGTTATTGCCTTATGCCTAGCTAGACCACCAGTTAAAACAAAGCAGATCGTCTGGGCATAACTCTTCCCTCTTTTTGTTTGTGTTTAATTTTTCACTTTGTTATACTGCTGTCATATTTTGCACATCTGCAGTACTAGGGATCTGCACTGTAGCTTTGTACTAAAGGTAACACCTAATATTTTTATTGTTTATCTATGCTAGGCACTCTTCTAAGAGTATGTGTTAGCTCTTAGAAGAGTACCTAGCATAGATAAAGCAAACAATGAAAAGCATGGGTGCATGCATCTAAGAGCATCCATGAAATGAGTCTATTTATTCCCATTTTACAGGTAAGAAAACTGAGTCACACAAGGATATATTTGCGTAACACAATTTCAAAAAGGCAAACTACAGTTCTTGTTAATGGTAAGGCCTTTTTGGCATCCCATATTTGAGAACTGTATTGATATGTTATCTCACTTGATCTGATACGTCCCTCCCCATTTGTTCACATCAAAGAAGTGAGACAGATGAAGGTGAGTTTGCTTTCAGCAGCTCTGCAGGTTAAGGACTGTACAGCGCTTGAACCCAGGGCGTCTGAATCCTGGTCTTGGACTCTTCCCTCAGAAACATACTGCCTTCCTTTTGCTGGTCTGGCCAGTAGATCTATACTAAAGATACAGGCCTCTCAAACTGAATGGGAAATTTGGAATCATAGGGACCTGAAGCAGTTAATGGAGGAGTGTTGTAGTAAAACATGTTTCATAGTCAGTCTATTTAGTCTAGGAGCTAGAGTATTCCAAATAAACAGCAACTCCTAATTAATTTTTTACTCCTGTGTTGAGTTGATATCTAGAATATACTCTTGACAGCTCTAGAGCAAAAAGCCAGGTCTCCAACAAAAGAATGAGTACTAATTGGGAAATAAATCAGCTTGCTATAGCTAAAAGGAAAAAACTCCCACAAATTCATCTGTCATTTTTATTTGTTCTTTCATCGTTTGTAGTACATTTTCAGGGTCTCAAAGAAAGTCATCTGTCTATGCAGGTGCTCATGGAAGCATCTTGTTTTACATATGATGAAAATGGAGAGAGCACTTCTTTTGACAGGAAACTTCACTTCTTGTTACTGAAAACCATCACAACAGTCATTATGTCTGGCTTTCAGAGATTTCCTGGAGTTAGGAGAACAATAGACAGTTAAAATGGCAATGTCAAGAGCATTCTGGGGTTTTATAATGAGTACCAAGGGAAATTTTTTTCTCTTGAGTTTGTAAGAAAAAAGTAGGAGGAATATTTGGAAACCTGAAGATATGTGGAAATGAAGGTGAATGCTCTATTTTTTTTAATGGAGTGTTCTTCCTAACCTTTGGAAGCTGAAAAAATATATATTTTATATATTACTGAGTTGCTAGTGAAAAAGAGAAGTTTCTCTTCGGTTGTCCCTCTCTGTAGGTTAAATCATCCCCTGAAAAGACACATTTGCAGCTTTCTGTATTTTTCTTTGATTAAACATCATTTAGAGTTCTTCAGTCAGTTTTCTTCTCTTCTTCTTACATATGTACACTGCTTCTAGGGCTTATGATTTCTAATTTAGCAGCAGGAGTTACTTCTCTTTTCCCTCTACCTCCAAAAAAAGATGACTCAAGCATTAGGAATATGTTTTTTGGCTTATTGTATAATTCAAATATGTATTTGTAGTTATTCTATTTTTAATCTTAATTTACATAGCCCTAATATGATTTCTAATTTCTAATAAAGTTTTTGAGGTACTAATGTCTAACGCACTAAAAGTACAAACTTCATAAACAATTTATGTGACCTGCTGTTTTCATTTCTGAAGTTTCTTGCTTGCTGCTAGAGCTGTGGGTGATTTTAAAGATCCCTGAATTAGTTACACATGGATCCCTGAATGGTAAAAATAACCTGCTATCTTTATTTTTTTTTTTTTGGAATATCTAGTAATACAAAGGCAATTATCAATTATTAACATGTTTTAAATATATGAGTAGAACATTCATTGTTTTAAAAATTAGTAAACATTTTAAGATGCTATAAGGTAGAAAGAAAAGTCTTCCTTCCTTTTGTCTCAATCCTAAATATCATTCCTTAAAGGTAACCACTGTTAAGTCTCTGCAAATTCTACCAGAAATGACCTAATGTTCTATTTGTATACAAGCATACATACACATATACGTAATACCTATACACATATAACACACATCTATGATTATATGTGTATATATGAATACATATATGTCATTCCATATATTAGCAATATAGCTTGGACATCTGTTCACATCAGTACATATATATCCATCTCATTTTTAATGACTATATTGTATTCCATTGCAATGGTTAATTTAGCTTACCTTCTGTTTTTTGACATTTAGGTTTTTCCAGTTTTATCTTATTGCAGACAATGCTGCAATAAATATTCTTGAATATATCTTTTTGCATTTTTATAAATATATTTGTAGGATACAGTCAAAGCAAGGGAATTATTCATTAAAAAAAAAAAGTGTGGCCATTTTTAGCATCACTAAATATTGCCAATTGTCCTCCAAAATGACTGCCCTAATTTATACTTTCATCAACAGTGTATAAGAATGTCGTGTTTCTCCACACCCTTGTCAACACTGAATGTGACAAAAATTTTAGTTTATAAATATAATCAGTAAAAATAGTATCTTATTTTAATTGTCTATTGCTGCTATATTTAAGGTTCACTTGAGCAAATGCCTACCGAGCACTTACTCTGTGTCATTGAAATGGCAAATGGCAATCAAATATTGTACTTGTCCTTAAGGAGCCATGGAAGTGAATAGGAAGCCTCTTTTTAGAAGAAGTTGAAATGTTGCAAAGATAGAAAAGTGGGTCTTTGGCACCCTACGAACAGGAAATAGTTGTCTAATAAAGATAGTGTCCACCCATGTCAACTTTCAGTTCTATTGCTGGCCTAAATTGGCAACTCTCTGCTTCTGCAACAGTGACCTTGCTTTCATTATGGAAGATAGTTGGCTGCAGGTAGGAGTAGAAATGCCTATCTAGTAGCTTTTGTTTTTCTCCAGGACCTGACTTGATTATCTCACTGGTTGCTTTTAAGAGAAAGCACCCACTGTTGGCTTCTGTTCTGAAAGGGCACCAGGCAAGCATGGAAACCTATCAGCAGAGCAAGCCAAAAGCGCAATAAACTGTTTATTCATTGTTCAAGATTCTTCACCTGTGTGGATTATTAGAAGTATTTCATCTTAGAGTACCCAGGTTAGATTATAGACACTTCAAGTATTTCTGTAGAATTCACTGAGGGGGAAAAAAATAGGGAAAACAGCATCAGTCGTTTGGGACCATGTTGGTTCCTGATGCTAAAATAATCTATATGAATAAACTACATTCTGTAAATTGAAATATCTGGTTTCCAGCCTGTTAAATAAAAACAGGAGGATCTGAAGTACATGGCAAAATGGGATAAGCTTGGTTTTCTGAGTGGAGGCAGCTATTGATAATTTTACTTTCTTATAGCTGAAGGTGAAGGAGATTTGAGGTTCTCTGAGAATTACAATTCCCCTGGAGTTAGCCCAAGGTGGGACCCTCAGAGCTGTCTACTCTCGTGCCATTGCCTCAAGCCTGTGGACATTTTTTCACCTTGGGGTAAGAAGCAGCTCCAGTTTGCCCAATTGCTGTGTGTGTTCCAGGCGAGTGACCAATGAGGCTGACTTGGCAGCTGCCCTTCCCACAGCCAGCCAGCCAGTCCCAAGTGTGTTTTAAAAGATAAGCGACAAAAAGCCAACCCTTTTAGAGAGGCTGGAACAGGCTAGTAGTTGCTAGGCAAGTTAAAGTAATTCAGTGTCCTTGCCAAACGTCTGCCATGCAAATAGGGAACTTTCAGGGAAGGAGAGTGAGATGGTGGTGTGTGTTGGTTGCCATAGGAATGTTTCCCTGATTGGAACAAGACCACAGAGTGAGGAGAGCAAGACGGCAACATCTACGGTGATTTCTGCTTGGGAATGGGAACCCAGAGTGGGCAGTGGAGCGGAGGTAAGCCATGCAGAGGCAGGAGCAGATGAGACCCTAGATGCCATGTGAAGCTAAAAACGTGGGGAACAGAAAGAGCAGATCAACTCATGAAAATTATATGGGGAGCTCTTATGCTACTCTGAAGATCTGAGACTTGGAGAATTTACAATCCCGAATTAACTCAGGGAAAATTCCAACTAGACTCTGAAATGAATTAGATGGAGATTTAAAATAGGGCAATTTAGTAGGAAAAGATACTTAATTTGAAGGTAGGTATTTTGTGTTTATGTAAATATTATGTCAGATTGTCTTTATTTTAGCTGTTAAAGGTACTAATTAAATATTTGTTAATGAATTATAGTGCTGTATTTATCAAGTTCTGATTTACAGGGTAAAAGCACAGTTGACCAAATTGTGTGAAACCTTGAACCTCAGACCCTCTGACGTGGGCTTACTGCTGCATTAACACCCTGTGCATCTGGTGGTAGCTTCCAAAATGATAGCTGAGGGTCTGAGTCGAAATAAATGGCTTTTAGCAAGTGTTGAACTTTGAATGTGCTATTTAACCTCTGATTAATTGATTACTCAGCTCTGAATATGAGAGGTGTATAGCTATCCCTTATCTCACTTAAGTGATTTGAGCATGGATGCTCCTCTCATTTGAATACAGTTTTTGGGGTGGGTGGGGGTGATATCAGATCCCAGGGTACATGCTATGATAATGACAGGCTTAATTATCACTCAGTATGGTTTAGGACAAAGGTTTTCTTTTGATCACAATATTAAGAAACCTTTCTTTAACAGATAGTTTTACTTGTACGTATGAAGTATATATATAAATTTATCATTTCCTATATATTTGATTCACATTCAGAGGGTATTTAAAATAGTATCTTCTTCAGAATGTATATGTTGGGATTATATATTACTGTTTCTTTCCTTTTTATGTAGTTTCTTTTTGTGGTCAGGTAAAAGAAGACTAAAGGGATGTGATATTTAGTCTCAAATATTTGAAGTATAGTCACTGTTCTGTTTCAGGGCTGTTTCCCTCTATCAATTCCTTTGATATGGAACTCCAATGTCATTTTTACTTTACAATTGATCACATGCTGGCTCACTGACATCAATTAACTAATTTGAGGCAAATTTTTAAACCAAATGCCAAATTTTAATTTACTGAGAGAATATAATCTAATAAGAAAGACTACCCTTGGGCTCTTCACATGGTGAACCCTAGTGTGGTTTTGATAAAGAAGCCCAAGTATATACTAACTATAATCTTTTCTTAAAAAAAAGTGGTGTTCTTATCTAGACCCTCCAGAATCTAGAGTAGCATCGTCCAATAAAAATGTAATATAAACCTCAAGTATGAGCTTTATATGTAATTTTAAATGTTCTAATAGCCACTTTAAAAATGAAATGTGAAATTAATTTTAGCTCTATATTTTATGTTGCTTAATATATGCAGCATATTATTTCAACATGTACAGTTGACCCTTGGTATCCATGGAGAATTGGTTCCAGGACTGCCCACAGATACCGAAATCTGTGGATGCCCAAGTCCCTTGTATAAAATGATGAGGTATTTGCATATAACATGTGCATATCCTCCCATATATTTTAAATCATCTTTAGATAACTTAAAATACCTAATACAATGTAAATGCTATGTAAATAATTGTTGTACTATATTATCTATATTGTTTTTTGTTTTTTATTAATTTACTTTTTAAAAATATTTTTACTGGGCAGTTGGTTGCATATGCAGAACCCATGGATATCGAGGGTTGACTGTAACTAATATAATGAATTATTAATGAGATATTTTGTATTTTTAAAATACAAAGTCTTGAAAGTCCAATTGAGATGTGCTGTAAGCATATTTTACACTTATAGCACATCTCAACTGGGACACTGAGGTTTCATGTACAGTACTTGATCTGTACTTAAATTAAAACTTACAGTAGAAAAAATAGATTCACATACCCAAGTCATTCCAAACATGCAAATCAGTTGTCCAGTAACTGAATCGGTGTCCATTTCTAAATTTAAATTTAACTTTAATTAAAATTAAATAAAATTTAAAGTAAAATTCAATTCCTGATTGACACTAGCAATGTTTAAAGCACTCAGTAACCACCTGTGGAGTGGCTGCCATGTTGTGTTGGACAGCACAGAAAGGACTGCTTTCTCTAGCCTTTTCCTTCACTCCTGCATGTCTCAGATGGGAAGACTTGTGTGAGACCTCTGATGGGAAGAGAATCTCATTTTGAAAGTGTGGAACCACAGACAAAGAGTTGACTTTCTTAAAAAGAAGTTTCCATTCAGGCTATATTAGAACCTGCCTGGCAAGGAGTTATCTGTCTAATATACCACATTATCTCCACCCTTGTTCCTAAATACACCCCTCATTGTCTCCCCAACAGATAAAAATATGCCAACCTTGTGTCAAGGTTGCCTCCCTGATCCCCTTGTCCTCCACTGCAGGCTGGCTCATTTCCATTACGTCAGTGTATTTCCTGGTTATAGTCCTCCTTTCTCATTGTTTCAGTTTCCACATTTGGCCTTAATTTCTATGATACCTCAGTGAAGCATTCAAATGTTTAAATTCCAATTTAGTTCTTAATTAAGGTCATGTATATCAAGGTCAATGTTATGTTAATTTGGATAACAGACATTTCCTTTGTCCCTTGCTCCAGATTTCTAGAGTGGCTGGGCTGAGAAACTTTACTTCCTGTTCACCTAGGTAGGTATCTTGCTTTGGGCATAACGGGATTCTTGAATATAATCTCTCCGTGGTGAATCAGTCAGACCTGTGAACCTTAAAGAACTTATCTGTTCCCTGGAGAGGAAGAATTAAGCAATACTAATATCAGGTGGATGGATAAAGACTTAGCCCTGCCAGAAGTTTTGCCCCACACCTTAGCTTGGGTCTGAAACTTGGTTGGCACATAGTATAACAGTAACTTTGTCACCCATAGTTTAAAGAGCCCAGAAGCCTGTCATTTTCTGTTGGGTACCTGGCACTTGCAAACGACATCACTGATGATAAAATTCATCCACTCTGTTTTGAATATATCAAGTGAAAAGCACTTACATTGCTTTTTCAGGTCTGGAGAATGATGACCTAAGGATGGGCCCTTGTCCAAGAGTTACAAGTTCCCCCTTCGTAGGAAACTTAGCTTGGAAATTAGGAAATAAATATTTGACCCGTTGAATCATTTTAAATTAACCTGAATAGAAATACATATTGTGCTCCTTCCTTATTACCATCCGAATCAAATTATTTTAGAGACAGGTAAGGCTTTGTAGAAAGAGGATCTGTACTGCCTGTAAACCTTGGATGCCAGTCCTAAGTCTGTTGGCTGCGAGGGCTGTGACACCAAGAAAGCCATTAAGTTGTTCTTGGCCTCACTTCTCACCTGTCAAGTGAGAGCACTGGACTACAGCTAGTGCTCGACTTACGACCACGATTGGTTCCGACAGACCGGTCGTAACACGATTTGGTCGTAAGTTGAGTAGGCTATATGTACAGTACTGTGAAATGATGTTATAAAAATCTTTAAGTCATATTTTATCATAATTTTCTTTCATTATTGTTATATATCATAATTTTCTTTGTTCATTTTATGCCATTTGTATCATCTCTACACCATTTTGTTTCTTATTTTTACGTTCATCAGGTTTAAGTAAAACACTGCATTACCAGTACAACTGGTTTAATATTTGCAAAACATACAAAATTACAAAATACAGGTGCATACAAAAATACAAAATACAGGTGTAAAAAATACCATAGGAAACATTTTCCCAATTGCAAAACATATCAAAATATATAAACATGCACGAAACATTTTATTGGCCGCTGGTGCTTGGCTGCGGATCGTTGATGTCGTCATCTGAGGCAGCAGTTGGGGTTACCGGAGTTGGTTTTTTCATAAACATGGTGAGCTTTGTTTGAATTGTATGCTGCTTTTTTTCTTCATAAATTTCACGATACGGACGAAACACATTGTGTGCCATCTGTTCAATCCTTGCAAATTGTTCGATGTTTGGGTCCATTGCTTCGAAATGTATAAGAAGTTTATTCAGTAAAGATAAACCGTCTGATAATTCCTTAGTGGTGAACTTTCTTTCTGGCTCCTCCTCTTCTTTCTCTGCTTCTCTTCTTTCTTCTTCTGCCACTCTTTCTTCTTCCAGTTCAATTAGCTCTTCATTTGTAAGTTCTCCGGATTCTTTGTCTAGCAACTCTTCGACATCTTCCATTTCACACTCCAAAGAAAGGTCTTTAGCAAGTTTTACTATGCTTTTGGCCTCTTTGTGAATATAAGTGCGTGCTGGCATCCGCTTCCAAAATAACCCAGTTTCATCAACATTGAAAATCTGTTCTGCTATGTTCCTCATCTGTAATTAATTCATCCAGACTATCAACAAACTTACGTGCTCCTTCCTCATCTGCACTCGCTGCTTCTCCAGTCACTCGAACACTATGCATTTGGAATCTTTTCTTGAATCTCTGGAACCAGCCAGTGCTTGCTACAAATTCTTGACTGTAATCTTCTCCAGCATGCTCCTTCAGAGTCTGAAATAGACTTCTCGCCTTCATCTGCACAGTAGAAAGACTTAATGGTGTCCGTTTTTGAATTTGATCTTCCATCCAAATATATAGCAATTTCTCCATTTCGTGGATGGGCCTGCTTCGTTGCTTTGTTATATCTGTTGATCGCATGGGTGCAGAACCTTTCACAGCTTCACGAATTCTTTATCTTTCAAAATCGTTGACACAGTCTAGTGTGATAACTTCGTATCACGTGCGATCACATTCACTTTCTTTCCTCCTTCGTACTGCTTAATTACCTTCATTTTTGTGTCGAGATCGATGGCCTTTCTTTCCTTCTTAGCAGGCTGAGGTGTAGACAAAGACAATTTCCTCTTGGTAGACATCTTGGGAGGGGTTTGATGAAAAATATCCAAGACACAAAACACAAATTGCTGTACCGAGTCTGGGATAACAGTTGAAATGGTGCTCGCGGAGATGGTAGTGCTGCCGGAAGCTGGTCCGCACTGTCGTATGCCCAGCCGGGCAACGTTTGTGCTGCCAGACGCGGAGCAGTCGTGGCTAGCGATTGTGGTCGTAAAGTTGAATGCTCGTAAGTTGCATAGGTCGTAAGTCGATCAATACCTGTAGATGATCTTAAGGCCTTTTGGTCATCACGTGGTTTGATCATCTATTCTAATCTCATAGTTTCTTGGGTGAAAAAACAAAGGCCTGCAAAATTGCTTTCTAAGATCCCATAGCAAATGTGAGGCAGGTCTTAGATTCTTAGTCACATGCTTTGTCTACTTCAGGAAGCTTCATTGTTCACTTAGAGGTTAGGCTTGAACCAAATAAAAATATCCAGAGGGATAGCTGATTCTCTGTTCTTCCCATAATGTCACTTTGTCTGCTCATATTGAGGTTGTTGGCCAAACATCTAAAATCCATAGGTTACCTGTTAATTTTTTGCTTCCTTAATATAGCTGGCCAGTAATTCAGGTCAGATACTTCTCTGGGATAAAGTTTCCAATGACCTCCTATTTCAAACAAAACAGGCTGGACGCAGTGGCTCATGCCTGTAATTCCAGCACTTTCGGAGGCTGAGGTGAGTGGATCATTTGAGGTCAAGAGTTTGAGAACAGCCTGGTCAACATGGTGAAACCCTGTCTCTACCAAAAATACAAAAATTAGCCAGGTGTGGTGGTGTGTACCTGTAATCCCAGCTATTCAGGAGGCGGAGGCACTAGAATCTCTTGAACCTGGGAGACCGGGGCTACAGTGAGCTGAGATTGCACTGCTGCACTCCAGCCTGGGTGACATAGCAAGACTCCACCCTGCTTCTCTCCAGAAATAAAACAAAATGAAACACTACGTTAGTTCTTTGCTGGTGAAGATGCATGATAACAAAAGAAAAAGCGGTAGCTGGGATGCAGAGTTAAATTTGCTCAAATATTTTCCATTAAAACTATAACTACAATAAACAATGAAAACCAGAAGGGCCCCAGTAGCTGCTCTGGTTGAAGTTTCCAGTGTAGGTTGGAGGCCCACTTCCAAGTGTTGGAGTATCACTCATGGACAGGAAGCAGAACCTGACTTTCTTGGGAAGGCTGCTTTTAGCTGGGGCAAACCCAGGGACTTTCATTCTTCTTTAGCCTGTCATTCAATGAAAAAGGCCAAGAGTGCCAAGGAAAAGAAACTTGTTGATTGTCTATTATATACTAGGCCTTCTAAGTATTTTAAATATAATGGCTCATTTAATTCTGTAACTACCCTGTAAATAGATGGGCATTATTTCCGTTTTACAGATCAATAAAAGTTATGTAGCTTGTCTAGGGTTACACAGTAAGTGATCAGGGATTCTATTTAGCTCTAAAATCTGATTGTTTTCCACTAATAGCCAGTAGCAGATAATAATATGTAGACCCCAGTGATTTCATTTCAGTTCCACTGAATTTGAAGACACCTGATACCAATGTGTAGGCACCAACATAAATTACAGCCTAAAATTAGAGGTGGATACAGTAATTGAGTAAATTTTGTTAAGAAGCAGGGGCTATTAACCTGCATCATAGATCCTTTGAAGACCTTAAAAGCAAAAATATTAAAGGGTTTTTTTGCAATTGACACATTTACATACATATCCACTAATCAGCATTGTTGGTGAGTAACAAAAGGTGTGTGAATTCTAAGTCAATTTAACTTTCAGAGGTGGTGCTTGCTGCTTTTGGGGTAAAATACAGTGCTATCATTTTGGTTTTTAAGTAATCTTGCTGTTTGGGCTTGTGGCTCTTTTATCCTTTGGGTCGATGAGGGGATGATATTTGCAATCAGTGTCCCTCCTACAGACATGGCAACTGTTCCAGTTAATTGGTGCTGCATGACAAACCAATCCAAAACTTAATGTCAGCCACAACCATGTGTATTTGACTCATGAATCTGCAATCTGGCCAGGGCTCAGCAGGGACAACTCATCTGTGCTCCATTCAGCTTCATCTGGGTTGGCCTAGAGACTGGAGGTTGGAATCATCTGAAGCTAGCCCACTTAATGTCTGGTGCCTAGCTGGGAAGACTAGAACAGCTGGGCTCCTCAGGCATCTCTGTGGTCTCTCCAGCATTATAGCTTCAGGGTAAACAGAATTCTGTACCAGTTCACTGCTCAGCATATGACTCGAGAAAGAAAGAAAGGAACATTTCGTGATCTACCTTAGAAAATCAGACAGCATCACTCTACAATGTTCTATTAAATTGAGGCAGTTACAAAGGCCACTTAGATTCCATGGGAGTAGAAATAGATTCCATCTATTGATAGGGAAGTGAAAAGTTTCTGGAAGAGCCTTGCAGTGGCCAGACTGCTACACAGATGTAGGAGGTTGCAGGTAATGTGCTAGTGCCCAAACCAGATGCATCTCTGGGCCTTTCTCTCTGACAGAGAATTAGGTATCCCTCTGGATATTTATAGTTGGTTCAAGGTTAACCCAAGGGAGTATATTGGCATGCAAATGGAATATAATCTATTCATTATAATTTAACCAACATAATTAATACTTTTCAAGAAAATCATTTGAGAATTTGTGACACTTTACTGTTAGAAACAGATTACTTATGAAACACCAGTGGTTTAGGCCAATAAGATACATAGTTGAGTCTTTCCCTAAATTTTTCATCATTTTTGAGCTGGTGTCTGTTTAGTGTTCCTGAATTGTCATTAG